GGTTTATCTTGATCCAGCCAGACCAAGAACCCGCGTTCAAGAAAATCAGAGTCTTAGAAGAAACCACCGTCGAAGTCGATGACGGTAAGACGTGCAAGTGCAAAGAGTCATTAGACGGCGTTTCATGGGTCCGCGATCGATTACTGGGAACAGGAGGGTGCGGGTCTGTTTCCTCGGCGACAAAATGGAATCCCAACTCCGTCAATATTCCAACGCAGGTGGCCGTTAAATCCAGAAAACTGCGCCGTGCTTCCACTCTCATCCACGAGAAAAAACATCTTTCTCCTCCCTCACCACGAGTCCTCACGTCATCAAATGTTACGGCGACGTGGTGACGCCCCACTGGGGTGAAGGGGACGCGTATAATGTTTTACTAGAGCTGTGTGAGCACAGTCTTCATGATCGGATCGTGAAATGTGAAGGATCAGGTTTTCCTGATACGGAAGTAAGGGTTTACACGAAGGATATTCTTCGAGGGTTGAAGCACGTGCACGGTGAAGATATCATTCACTGTGATATTAAGCCTGAAAATATTCTGCTGAAGCGGGATGAGTTGGTCAGGAAAGGAAGTTACGCAGCGAAGCTGGCTGATTTTGGAGTAGCTGTTGATAAGAAGTCAGGGAATGAGCCTCGTTCGAGACGAGGGACATACGCGGTTGTACATGTCGCCGGAGTTGGTGACGGAGAAGGTGTATGGGTTTGCCGGAGATAATCTGGGCTCTGGGTTGTGTTGTACTGGAGATGATGACTGGAAAAAGAGTGTGGAGTAGTAGAGGGACTAAGAAATATTCGATTCTGAGTGTCATTGCTGAAAGCTCTCCGATGAGTGAGGTACCGGCGGATGTATCGGACGAATGGGAGAGATTTTCTGGAGAAGTGTTTTGCTCGGAATCCGGCGAAGAGTTGTTCGGCCGATCAGTTGATTCATCATCCTTTCGTTGATGTGCTCCCTCCACCTTCTATTTGATCCTAGTTTGTAATATGTATACGCATATATATATATATATATATATCTTTACTCTTCATATCAAAGAACAAACAGATATGTTATTGTGATGTTTGAGTGTATTATTCTTTTGTGCAGTGAATTTTCTTGACCCCATTTCTCTTTTTTGTTAATTTCATGGATTAAGCTTCAAATTGTTTTGGCAACTTTTTGAATTATTCATATATATTAGAACTAGGAAGCTTTGCAAATGAAGAATGTTAAATCTATTTTATATTTTTACTAAAGAGTAAAGTTTATAGTAAACCAAATGAGGAGATATGGTGAGATAATGGAAAATGTTCGTGTGATGCAGAAAATTCTTCAATCATTATCACCAAAATTTAATTATGTGGTTTGTATCATTGAAGAGTCAAATGATCTAAACCCTTTGACTTTTAAGTAATTAGAGGACTTTCTACAACCTCATGAAAAAAAAGTTAAAGAAAAGATAGGAAGATCCTTTGTAACAAGTTCTCAAATTAAAGATCTCTTTAAATAATGGTGGAAAGTAAATCGAGTGAGAAAGAGGTAGAAGACAAAGTCGTGGTCGTGGTCAAGTGTCAAAAAGTAATGATACTCAAGATGGTGCCAAAAATGAAGACAAAGTCACCAGTTAAATATCTATGTGCAATTCATTTCTTTGGCCCACTTCATATGTGCTACTACATGTTTGCTTGTTTTTTGGTATAGAGCACAATAAAAATGAATCATACAAGATGAGTTTATGATAACATGAGAAAAATTAGAATAAGAATTGATTTCATTGTGTTGTCTTTAGAAAATCAACGAATTCATTTATCACAAAAAGAAAATAAAAAGGTCTGTTGAAGTCTTGGTGCTCAAAGAGTGACCTGATCCAAGAAATGTATGGTCTAGTTTACTCTAGAGCGACAGAGGCATACCTGGGAAGATTGGGGTTTAGGTAGTTAAAGTCTTAGTCTTCTTTTAGGAAAAAAAATGCCATAGGTATAATGAGATGTAGCTTTTTATTGTGGAAACTTGGGACATAAGAAATAGTATAAAATGATAGTTTTTTGTGCAAGGGGATGTACCTTTTTATTGTGAGGATAAAATTCATGCACTTGAATTATGACCATTAAGCCTTGATATAACTTAAAAATGTCTTTTTTTTTATAACCATTTTCTCCTCTTAAGCTATTCCATACTCATTGGTTGAAATATTTATGTAAACTTATCCAATATTTTTTTCAATAGACCGCAAACCAGACCTCTTAGAATGTGCTCAGTTCTGGTATGCGATGTCAATATACACCTACAATTTATAGCTGATAGCCTGGTCAGCAGGCATGGGCCTTCAACCATTGCTGCATGGAGGTGGGTAGAATCACCAAGGTAATTATGCTATTTGTAATGAGGAAATGACGAGGCTTCAAGCAGAAAAGGGTGGGCAGGTAGGGTTAAGTAACAGGAGATGACTTGAAGAAGCATTTGGGAGCATTTGGATTTGATTTCTAAGGAGGATGCCTATGATGTTAGTGTCAAATTCTTTGAAATGTTATTCTTTATTGAAGGAAAAAATAATATAACTTTTCTATCACATTTAATGCCATCCGCAGTTCTAACACTTAGGAGTATAAATATATATTTTTATTTCTAGTGGATTGTATATAAGTATTAGGGCATTGAAGCAGGTTTTGAATCAAATTATATGGTTTGAATGATAAGAATTATTTAGTTTTGTAGAATTATAGTTTATCAAATATCATTGAACTTCTGTTTTTTATTTGATGAATTTGGTTTAGATATAATCTATTTCACGGATTTTGAAAGTTATAAGAGGATTTTTTTTTATTAGCATTGACAACAATCTTTACTTTTGCTACTACCATGACAATGATTTATCGTCTAATTTTTTTCTCATAAATACTTTTCTTAATTATATAATATAATTTTAGAATTTTACAAGTAAAAAAAGACAGCCTTTATATATACTCTTGGACTTTGGGCCCATTAAGAAACACAGCCCAGTCTAATACGAGCCCAAAACAATCCAAGTGTCAGAAGAAGTAGTGAAACCAAGTAGACTTCTGTATATAATTTCAACCCTTCCCCGTTCATGTTTTCTAAACCAGATTTTCAAACCAGCTCGCTACTGCGTCTCTCTCTATCTTCTTTTTCTTCCTCCTTTGATCTTCTCCTTGCTTCATTTCTTCCGACCTCAAACATGTCAGACAAACTCAGCCAGATTGGGACGAAGCGTAAATCCATTCCCCCCGGTGCCGAAACCTTGAAGATGGTGGTCGTGACGGAATTAGACCAAGACTCGGCTGTCAAGAAAATCAGACTCTTGAAGAAAATCCCCATCGACGACGATCACTATAAGAACTGCAAGTGCAACGACACAATGAACGACGTTTCGTGGGTCCGCCATCGATTATTGGGAAAAAGAGGATATGGGTTTGTTTTCTCGGCGAGAACAATGAAACCCAACCCCGATAATCTTCCGCCGCAGGTGACCATTAAATGCACCAAAATGCACCGTGTTTGCACTCTGATCCACGAGAAAAACATCATCTCCTCCCTCACGACGAGTCCTCACGTCATCAAATATTACGGCTATGAGGTGACACACCACTGCGAATGAGGGGAAGTGTATAATGTAATATTAGAGTTGTGTGAACTCAGTCTGCATGATCGGATCAAGGTATGTAAAGGATCAGGTTTGTCTGATATGGAAGTAAGGGTTTACACCAAGGATATTCTTATAGGGCTGAAGCACGTGCATGGTGAGAATATCATTCACTGTGATATTAAGCCCGAAAATATTCTGCTGAATCGGGATGAGTTGGTCAGGAAAGAAAGTTACGTAGCGAAGCTGGCTGATTTTGGATTAGCTGTTGATAGGAAATCAGGGAATGAGCCTAGATCAAGACAAGGGACACGGTTCTACATGTCGCTGGAGTTGGTGAGGAAGAAGGTTTATGGGTTTGCTGGAGATATGTGAGCTGTAGGGTGTGTTGTCTTGGAGATGATGACTGGAAAAAGAGTGTGGAGTAGTAAGGGAAATACTGAGGAAGGTGAGGTTATGAGAGTTATTGCTGAAAGCTCTCCAATGGGTGAGGTGCCGGGATATGTATCTGATGATGGGAGAGATTTTCTGAAGAAGTGTTTTGCTCCGAATCCAGCGAAGAGATGGTCTGCCGATCAGTTGATTCACCATTCTTTCCTTGATGTGATCCCTCCGGAGGTCATTTGATCCTAGTTTGTTATATGTATTCGTATATGCATCTTTACTTTCCTTATCAAATAATCAACTGATATGTTCTTATGAGATTTGAGTGTCTTAGAATTGTTGGGACTAAATTGAAAACGTAAAGTTATATGTTCTAGGCTTGATGAGAATTAGGGTTGAGCGTGAAATATTTTTCTCTTTGCAATTTTTAAATTTTTTTTTATAAATGTTCTCGATTCGATTATTTCTTTTTGTTAATTTTTCAGTTCAAACTACTAATTATTTTGGTAATTTTTTGAATTAAAAATAAAGAATGTAATCTAAAAATATTATTTAATTATTAATCTATTATGTTGAACAAGAATCCGAAGGAGGAAATTCAGTGTGTTAATAATAATTTCTTTGTTAAAAGTGTTTCTATATGTATTTGTTCTATCTAATAATAATTTTGATATTTATTATGAGGTTATGATATATTAAATTAAGATTGAGCGTAAGAAAAATTACGATAATTTTTAGTATTATAATTATAACCTTTTATCTTATATCTTTACGAAAAACTTATCAAATTTAAATTTATGTGAAGAAATGAAGCAAAGGGAAAATTAAATGTTTTTTTTTAAGAGAAAAAGAAAATTATGTTGTATTGTATACAAAATTTATATTATATTATTCAATTTAAATTTATGAAAAATTATAAAATTACCACTTACCCATGAGATTTGAGTGTCTTGTTAGGACTAAATTGAAAACTTCAAATTGGTACGAGAATTGAATGTTCTCGATCTTATTGGAATTAGGGTTGAGCTCGAAAATTTTTTTCTCTTTACAATTTTAAAATTTTTTATAATAAATGTTCTCGATTCGATTATTTTTTTTAGAAAATTTAGATAATTTTTGAATTAGAAGTTAAGAATGAACTTAGTATTTTTTAGACAGTTAAGTCTAAAAATTTCATTTAATAATTAATCTATTAAATTAATGAAGAACTTGAACGAGGAAAGTGGATGTATTTGTAGTAATTTTCTTGTTAGAAGTATTTTTTATATAATTTTATTCGATCTAATAATAATTTTGATATTTATTACGATGTTAATATGTATTGAATTAAGATTTACGATAATTTTTAATATTATAATTATAAATATTAATTTTATTGCAAAATAGTAGTTTTATATCTTACTGCAAAACCGATTCAATTTAGATTTATGTGAAGAAATGAATCAAAGGGAGAAAGATTTAATGAAAATTACATGTTTTTTTTTTTTTGGAAGAAAAAAAAGAAAACTATGTTATATAATATACAAACTTTATATTATATTATTTAATTTAAATTTTTTTAATTTTTTTTTAAAAAATATCACTTACCACTAAAAAGTAATTTCTCCATAAAAATAATTTTTTTAAAAAAATTATAAATTTATAATTCTAACTTAAACATATATATATTAATTATTATTTAATTAAATAATTGATATATTTATTTTTTTATTAAAAAAAAAATTGTAGAATCCAGTCTTGTAGTAATAAGGTGTGTATAGTGATTTTGAGATTATTTTTATTGTATTATAATTATTGAATATTTTTTAATAAATTAAATTAAAAAATTTAAAATTCTGTTTTTCTGAAATTACGAAATTACCCCTACCATGTAAGAATATTTACCATCAAAATTGGGGAGCACAGACAAAAAGAAGGGAAGTTACCAAATGATTATGAATCCAATAAAGCATGTATCTTGCTCCACTTGTTCAAGCTTCCATTATCCCTGCACTTCCATGAGGTATGCCCGCCTCTCATTCCATGTAAATTGATATATGTACACACACGCACATGTATATATGCATCTATAATTGTATCTCTTCCTGCACAGAATTGAGACTCTCAATCTTCTTGCTCAGGCCTCTATATTGTAAGTAGTATCCATGGCGTCCTTGAAGTTGGTCATTGCAGCGGACGCAGTTGGTTCAAATAAGTTTAATTTTCCCGTTAGTCCGATTCAGTTGCCTGATTATTGCGCCATTTCGTCAATTATTACTTGTATGCACAGAGCTTGTGTAATCACATCTTTGAATGGAGTAAGGCATGTTAAGGTCTCTCGTTTTGAGAACGAAGGGCACCGAATTGATGATGGCGTGGTTTGTTCCGAGGCAAATGGGGCTTCAATTGAGCAAAAACAGAACCCTAGTTTTAAACATGAAATTAAGAGGAGAAACCAGAGTGCAAAGAAAGGGGCAAAGAAGAATGTTGGTTTCAAGTTTAGTTTAAGAAATGTTAGCAGTGAATTAGAAAGGGAGAATATTTTTGTCAATGATAACGAATTGGATGTAAATTACTCTGCTATTAGTTCTGGGTTGAGCATGGAGCATTGCAATGCTATATTAAAACGACTAGAAAGAAGCAGTGATAGGAATACTTTGAAGTTCTTCGAATGGATGGAGAGTAATGGGAAATTGGAAGGGAATGTATTGGCTTATAATTTGGTTCTTAGAGTGTTAGGTAGGGAAGAAAATTGGGAGAGAGTGGAGGCAACAATTAAGGAGGCAAGGAATCATTTGGGTTGTGAGCTTAATTTTCAGGTTTTCAATACTGTTATATATGAGTGTTCAAAAAAGGGGTATGTTAAGCTGGGTGCAAAGTGGTTTCGTATGATGTTGGAGTTTCGTGTGCAGCCTAATGTTGCTACCTTTGGCATGCTCATGGGTCTTTACCAGAAAAGTTGGAATGTTGAAGAAGCGGAGTTTGCATTTGCTCAGATGAGAAATTTTGCAATTGTCTGTGAATCTGCATACTCAGCAATGATCACAATCTATACTCGATTGAGATTGTATGACAAGGCAGAAGTGATTATTGGATTAATGAGAGCTGATGAAGTGGTATTGAACTTAGAGAATTGGTTGGTAATGCTGAATGCTTACTGCCAGCAAGGTAAGGTAGAGTGTGCTGAACTGATATTGGTTGAAATGCAAGAAGCTGGCTTTTCTCCAAATATTGTTGCATACAATACATTGATTACTGGTTATGGAAAAGTATCCAATATGGTTTCTGCTCAAAACCTATTCCAAAGTCTTCATGATGTTGGATTAGTTCCAGATGAAACAACATACAGGTCCATGATTGAAGGTTGGGGCCGTTCAAACAATTATAGAGAGGCAAAATGGCACTATAAGGAACTAAAGCGGTTAGGATACAAGCCCAACTCATCCAACTTGTATACACTAATAAACTTGCTGGCCAAACACGGGGACAAAGAGGGTGCTATGGAAACTCTTGATGACATGCTAAATATAGGATGCCAATATTCGTCAATCCTTGGCACTCTTCTTCAGGCATATGAAAAGGTTGGAAGGATTGATATGGTTCCTGTCATTCTCAATGATTCATTTCGTAAGCATGTATTTGTTAACCAGACTTCTTGCTCCATGCTAGTCATGGCTTATGTTAAACATGGCTTAGTGGATGATGCTATGGAATTGTTGCGGGAAAAACAGTGGAAAGATCCAACCTTTGAGGCCAACTTGTATCATTTGTTAATTTGCTCATGCAAAGAGTTGGGTGATCTTGATAATGCTGTGAAGATATACAAGCAAATGGCAAATTCTGATGGCAAGCCAAACTTGCACATCACATGCACAATGATTGACATTTACGGTGTCATGGGTCAATTTAATGAGGCAGAGAAACTTTATTTGAAGTTGAAATCTTCTGGAGTTTCTCTCGACTTGATTGCCGTCAGCATTGTTGTAAGAATGTATGTGAAAGCTGGATCCTTGAAAGATGCTTGCTCTGTTCTTGCAACCATGGAGAAGCAGAAAGACATTGTTCCAGATACTTATTTGTTTCGTGACATGCTCCGAATTTATCAACGATGTGGTATGCTAGATGAGCTTACTGATATTTACTATAAGATTTTGAAAAGTGGAATCACTTGGGATCAGGAAATGTATAATTGTATCATAAACTGTTGTGCTCGTGCTCTGTCGGTTGATGAACTTTCTAGAATTTTTGATGAGATGCTCCAGCGTGGGTTTACCCCTAATACAATCACCTTCAATGTCATGCTCAATATTTATGGAAAAGCAAAGCTTTTCAAGAAGGTAAGGAAATTGTTTTTGATGGCTAAAAAGAGAGGCCTGGTTGATGTAATTTCTTACAACACTATAATAGCTGCTTATGGTAAAAATAAGGACTTCAAGAATATGGCTTCAACTGTTCAGAAAATGCAATTTGATGGCTTTTCAGTTTCCCTTGAAGCTTACAACTGTATGTTGGATGCTTATGGGAAAGATAGTGAACTGGAGAGCTTTAGGACGGTCTTGCAGAGAATTAAAGAATCAAAACTTTCTTCTGATTGCTACACCTATAATATTATGATCAATATATATGGAGAGCAAGGATGGATTGATGAAGTTGCAAATGTGCTGACAGAATTGAGAGAATCTGGACTTGGACCTGATTTGTGCAGCTATAATACATTGATAAAGGCGTATGGAATTGCTGGATTGGTTGAGGATGCAGTAAATTTGGTAAAGGAAATGAGAGAAAAAGGGATACAACCTGATAAGATAACCTATACCAATCTGATTGCAGCATTACGGAAGAATGATAAATTTTTAGAGGCTGTTAAGTGGTCTTTGTGGATGAAACAGATGAAATTATGAATAGAACCTTTCGGATAATATTTGGCCTATTGTTTATGATTCGCACTAAAGACACAATGAACTTCAGTCCTCACGTAAATTCATGGCTACATATTCTGCCCATGGTAAGGTGTTCTACATTTTTCATTGAATGGCTCAATTTCTGCTCAAATCATTATAACATTGTTTTTTTGGTTGAATGCTTATCGTATTCTCATTTAATTTATTCTCTTAATCTCATACTTCTCTTTTATAGGATTAAAGCATCTTCTTATTGTGATCTCACCCCGCACTCTCACCGTAAATTCCTTTGGAATGGGACATTCAATTAACATAAAAATCAAGTTCTTGGCCCTTAAGTGAGGATAAGGAGAATTAAACAAATAAATCATGTCCAGATTCTGTAAGTCCTAATATGAAGATTAGAGTTACAGATTAAGTGGAAATGAATAGTAATTCAACAAAACCAACCTAATTGTATTCCTTTTTTTGGATTATTTCCTCCATATTTCAGCCATCTATTTAGGTGTTTTCTATCTGTTTGGTTATTCTTGCTATTTTCTGGGTATTCTCTTTAATACCTAATTTTGAGGGTTGCTTTGCCCACAAATATTGATTAACAAAGAAGTTATCCAAAACTAGTTTAAATCTTCTAATTTGCTAGTTGCTATGATAAAGCAAATACAAATATGCCAAGTTACCCTGTTCAGTGGAGACTTACAGAATCTACCTCATTTTTACCAACTTTATTTTAACTTGCAGCAAATGTTAAGTGCTTAGATAATTGAGATACCGGAGAGAAGTCAATTTTGAATTATGGTAGATGATAGTCTTTAGATAAATTTTTGGAAATTGGTGTGCAGTCTTTCAAACATGCTATCAGCACTGTTCTCTAACTCTATTTAAAAAGGTTAAAACAGTTTGCATGAGAGTTACATGGATTATCTTAGTTTGCAAGTAACTCCTCTTCCTCAAATTCTATTGTGACGATGATTACCGTTGCTTTCTTCTATAAATTTGTTTGCACGGATGCTAAAAACTCAATCAATTAGGCTGCTTTATTATTTACCTGTAACTCCCAATTCCTTTTGCTCTGCATTCTGATCAGATTGATGATTTTTTACTGATAGTTTGGGGTTCTGCATCAAGTTTCCGAAACTGTAATGGACACCCAAGTGAAACTACCCGTCTGGAGAATTTGTTGGCAGCATCTTCTGGTTAAAGCTTGGGAGAATCCTTACCCAGTTTTCTTTCATGAGAGTCCAAGAAGTACAACTACTGCAAATGCAGCCAGCTGATAGAGTGAGACATCAGCATAGAATCATTGGCAGATATGTATAAATATATAAATATGTGTAGGAGTAGTCTAGTTGATGCAGTTGGGGCTTCCTGTTGTTAACAGCAAGAGTTTCAGATTTTCATTAACAGAATACTGTTTGTTTCTCCTGGTAATGAAGGATTTGAGTGAAGCTGTATCAATGTCAATAATGTTAGCACTCTTTGATTCTTGATCTATGTACTCCAGACCGTTGTGGCCAATGTGATATGTTTGCATTTTAAAAACTTACCAAAGTCGATGAAAGGTAATCCGCACAAATAAATGTTATTATAAATTTAAACTTATAATATTTTTGTTAAAGATTCATGAAATGCATAATAAGAAGGAGAGGGAGAGCAAGAGCGAGATAAGATATGACTGTTTAAGCGAGAAAGAGAGTTGACAATGTATTATTTATATAAATGTCATTTCGATAAATATTTAATTAAAATTATTTACGCAGTTATATTTTTAATTAATAAAAATAAAATTGAGAATAGCAGGTAAGAAAAGTTTATTTAGAAATTTTTTTGAAAATTTAAGACTGATTTAGGAAAAAAAAACTAATACAAATATTTTACAAAGACATTATTATATTAGTCATAAAATAATTAGGAAAAATGCTTTTGTAATTATGTTTAAATTAAAATGACAGACATTTTATAAGCTATCCATATATTAATGAAATTTCCGAATGGACAAGGCAAAATTTTGACTTTAATTTCTTTATCTTGGCAGAAAATGTAACACATATTGCCTTTTACAGCCAGTTCGTGCTAAGATACACCCGCTATTCTTTTTCTATTTGTAACTATATAAATAACAACAACAATAATAATAAAAGAAGATATGAACACGAGGAAAGGAAAAAAAAATTGATCTTCTTGGATCATGAATACCCAAGCAATGAACCCTAACAGCAGAAAAAATTTGCTGCAAGGATTTAGCATCTGGCTCTTGCCCCCTGAAAAGCAATGAGTAACCAGAACTTCCGATGATGAACCTAGCCAGGAATAAGCTTCATTTTCCCAACAAGGAGATCAATCAGTTGGTGGTTCTTCATCTGCGCTAGAAACTGAACGCTATGTAGATGTTGATCACCATCTGAGGACAATTTCAAGAACCCTTCAAGATTATTGGCGTGTGAAGTCGATCACCGGACTTTTTTCTGTCCTCTCAGGTGTTTGAAGAAGCAACCACCATCAGCTTCGGTTTTGGGTTGTTCATCTTTTGGTTCAATGCAAATTTTATCCTTCTTCACTCCTTTGGGAAGAAAATTAGGAGACTAAAATGCTTCTGTTGGTTATACATGAATGCTGATGGATGAGGATCAGTTGAAAAAATACGGAGATTCAAGAACCTCTGGCAAGTCAAAGTTGCCCCTCTTAGGGAGAGAAGGAAACACCAATGTGGGGTATGCTGTCTGGAAACTCTCAAGCAACTGAGGGCATCACAAAAAAAGAACAAACTTTAACGAGGTTAATAAAGAATGAAAGGAACATAATTCAGATAAATTCATTCAATAAAAGGGGGTAAAAAAAGATAAATAGGAAAACTATCAGATTAGTTTTGAAGATGCCACTTCCAAAAATTTCAGACGAAAGGAAAATTTCAGAAGAAAAGAAGTTATATGGTATTCTTTCAAAAATTCATCCCCGGTGGACTTGACATGCTTCAAACCTTTTTTTTTTTATTTTTTATTTTGTGATAATTTGGTACAGTAGATTAGAACATCTGTATGTGCCTGAATCTTTAGATATGAAGATATGAACCTTTAATGCTAAATAATATCTTAAAAACTAATGATCTTATGTGAAATAGCAAAAAATCAGAGCATAGAAAGACGGTTAAACTGTTACCCATAAAAAAAAGGATTTTGAACTACAATAAAGCCAAATCACACAGGCGGTGGAACTGAAATTTGCCATGTTTCTACTTAAGTGAATCAAAATTCTATAAAGTAGAAAGAAACTGCATAAAAACGCTAATACGATTTTTTGAGACTGTTAAAAACATCAACACTTGGCAATTCAATCGAATACATGCATGCGAGGTAAGGATAATCCTCGTCCAAGTTGTGCTACAAAAAAGTTCCTTATTTGGGCTTCATCATTAGAAAAGAAACTGCAGTGTTGAACTTACATTTTCAAGTATTGGCATGCTATAGAGCTCCACAAATTTCTCACGAAGAATCTGATTCATCTTGTCCACATCACATGCATGTGTCCAAAACGAGTCATGAACCCCTGTAAAGAGATTTATTTAACAAAAGGGGATCAAAGTTGGTGCATTTTGATAGAGCAGGGACTTTGAATTATGTCATTGCAGTTATTATGAATACAAAGCAGAAGAGGAAGTATGAGGGTCTCAAAGCCCTAGAACACATTTCAAGATAAAAAGGACTTCATGGTTTTCTTCGAAACCTAAGATTTTGAATTTTTCTTTTATACAAAATAAATTTGTTTGTTATCTCCGCAAATAAAACATAAGAAATAAGAGTTTTTACTCCTCTTATTAAGTCTTAGATGAGAGCTCCAAAGAAAATATATTTAACCGTATAGAATGTTCTGAGTTTTATTTCTTAAGTTCATATGTGATGGTACACAAATATATATATATATATATAGTTGTTACAGATTAAAACAAGTTTTACAAATGTAGTGAAAATTTGGCATGAGGTTGAAAAGAAAAAATATTTGTTTTAAAACTCGTGCTATATTTTTACTATTATTTTTCAAATAATATTTTCATTTTTAACAATTACATAGATATATGTAGCAAACACATAAAGTTAATAAATAATGAAGTAAAAACAGTTTTCTACAATTCAATAGGACCTTAAAATTTTTTTCTTGAAATAAAATGAGACCTTAAAAATTATGCTGCTTCGCTACTAAAAGTCTACAAGACAGACCTGCAAAATGTAAACCAGCCTCTCTGCAGGCAATAGCTGTCATCATCATGTGTGAACCATCAAGTGAGTGCACAAAATTTGGAGGAAATGCAGTTCTCTGTTTTTTAACATCTACCTGGAATAAGTAGAAATGGTAAGTCATTGATGACTATGTAACAAATTAAATAGGAAAGAGAAGCTGAAACCAAGACACCAAATAGCCTTACCGAGTTACCCTCCCGTTGCAATGCCAAAACCTGAAGAGATGTTCGTATCTACAATCCCAACTTGAATTTGATTAAATTTTGTTACTAAATTATTTAGTAATATTTAATAATGCTAAATAATTTCAAAAGAAAATCACATCCACGAGAAAAATAAAAGTTTGCACGTAACAATTTGGCACTTCACAGTTTTGAGATCTGTCATCTGCAAACTGCAGCAAATTTACAGACCTCAATTGTAGATCCTGAAGGTCGTAGATACATGCATGGCAAAGATCTAGGTGGCTTGCCCAATTAGTCATGCAATTGAGGAATAGATCTTTGAAGCAAGTGAGAAATTGTCTCCAAAATGCAAAGAAAGTAGCTACAAATTGATTCCTATTAAATGTATTTTACTTCTAACAAAACCAAACGAAACATATCATAAAAAATTGAGCCTATGCCCTCCCACTCCAACCAATAAGGATTACAAGAATCCTGCTCTGAATGTGTTCAGTACTTGCTAACATGGAGATTAGTGTAAACAAGCAGATTCATAAAATATCAGGTTGCTTGAACCCACATTAAGGTAACACTCTGTTGATAAGAATTTTATGTTAAGTAAATATAGTTAGAGTTCTAATAGTAAAAATATATCATGTAATTAGAATTTTTTTAAAATAAAGATAATTATTCTATATATATTTATAAGAAATAAATTATAAGTTTATTTTCTTCAAAATTTTTATGGTATTAAAGCCAAAATAAGGAAAATAGACCAAGTTGGTATTCAACTATTAAAGAAACCAAACCCAACATCACCCAAACAGAGTCACCGCTGAACCCCGGCCAGAACAGCCACAGTTTCAACGCGTGTTAGCCACACGCACCGCCGGCTTCATCACATTCGGCCCGAAAAATGGTGGAATACCGCTAGAAAAGCCCAATTTAGACAAATTTGGTTCCTTTCCGTGCAAAATCCAGCTTGATCACGATTATCCGGCCCTTTTTTTCATGCGGCTGCGCATGTTCGGAAGATCTGCCGTTTTGTGCCCTTCGCCACTCCGATCCGGCCGATCCACATCTGGAGACGAGTCGACTGATCCTCCTGCACACCACACTGCTCCAGTCGCGCTGCATTGACCGGACAGAGCCCCTCCCTTGCGCTAGTCTACTTTTCCGCACACGGGACGTCTGGTGTGCCCATTCCGCGTTCTGGACCACTCTGACCTGGTCCGTCTGAGCCTGAGCAGAGCTGTCCGCATCCGAGCCAGCGCCGAGCCAAGCTGCTGTAGAGCTGAGCCGAGCCAGATCTAATTCCAGTTTTTTTGTCATTTTTATGATTTTTTGGGTCCTTTTTTGGCTCCTTGGTGCAGATTAAGAGGTCCGCTTTTCATTACTAAATATTTTTCTTCTTATTTTTAACATTCTAAAATGACAGAAGCAAAAAATTTAAGTGTTACTGGTTTTGATAATCCTTCATTAAAAATCAATCCCGTAAAACTTGATGAAACTAATTATCTTATTTGGTCGAGATTTTATTTATTATTTATCAAATTTAAAAGATTGCAGGGTTACATTACTGATGAGGTGAAAAAACCAGATGTTGGTAGTTTAGAATATAATAGATGAGACTCTGAGAGCTCATTGGTAATGTCATGACTCATAAATTCTATACAAACTCATATTGTCAGAACATATCTGTTGCTTAACACTACCGAAAAAATATAAAATGCAACATCTCTTACATCTTCATACATGGGTAATGACGCTCAGATTTATGAACTCCGAAATAAAGTTCATGACACAAAATAAGAAGAGATTACTCTTTCTCAATATATTTCTGAACTGAATGAATTATTTCAGGAATTAGATTACTATCAAGATTTTCAAGCAGAGTGTCTTGCAGATGCAATCAAATTTTAGAAATTGATAGCAAAAGAGCGAATATATAATTTCTTATATGGTCTGAACACCAAATATGATCAAATAACGGGTCCAAGTACTTGGTAAGGATCCATTTCCTTCATTAAAACAAACTTATATTTATGTCCAGCAAGAAGAGAGTAGAAGAAATGTCATATTTCACATTGCACCAGTCGAGAATGCTAAATTAGTTGCTCAGTGTAATCAATCCAAAGATATATGGAAGTGTGACTATTGTGACAAGCCAAGAGACACTAAAAAAACTTGTTGAAAGTTGCATGGAAGACCAATTAAAAGTCCGGGAGGAAGAAGAGGTGGAACCACAAGAGCTCAAACAAATTTTGTTAAAGCTAGAGAAACACCTGTTTCACCATCTGTTGGAGCCTTTTCCACAAAAGAAATTTAAAATCTAAAACGCCTTCTGAGTCAACTTAACTCTCTATCAACTGTTGGCACATCAAATATGGTAAAATCATGTATTACTCATCTCTATCCTATTTCCACTCTTAATAGTTGGATTATAGATTTTGTAGTTAACAGACACATGACAGACTCTTCTAAAAAATTCTTAACCTATTCTTCTTGTATTGAAGAGGAAAATGTTCATATAGCCGATAGGTCATACACCCCCTTGTCTGGAACAAGTTCCATTAATTGTACTCCTACCATTAAACTATTTTCAGTTTTATATGTGTCTAATTTTTCTGACAATCTTTTATCTATTAGTGCTATAAGTAGAAATCTTAACTGTAAAATTGAATTTTTTCCTGATCATTGCATCTTTCAGGATCGTTAAACCAGGAAAAAGATTGGTACTAGTAGACTGTAAGATAACTTATATATCTTGCATAGGCACCAGAAATTAATTGGGAATCAAGCCATCGTTGGAAATAAAGAAGTCAATATAAAAATACTACAATGACATCGACGATTGGGACATCCTTCCTTTTTTATTTTTAAAAAATTATATTCTAATTTATTTAAAAGAACTTGTATGGAATCTTTATTTTGTGATGTATGCGAACTTACCAAACATAAAATGAGCTCTTATCATTTAAGTAATAATAGAAGTATTGATCCTTTTACAACTATTCACTCTAATGTATGGGGACCTACTCAGAATACCTCTCTTTCTGATCATAAATGGTTTATTACTTTTATCGACTGTTGTACTAGATTAACATGAATTTATCTGTTAAAAACAAAAGGTGATTTATTTTCATATTTTCAATCATTTCATAAAATGATATGTACACATTTTGGTGTTGCAATTAAGATTCTGAGAACTGACAATGGAACATAATATATAGATAGTGGGTTTCGTGTCTACTTGGAGTCAAATAAGATAATTCATCAGACAAGTTGTGTGTACACCAATGAACAAAATTGGGTTGTTGAAAGAAAAAACAAATACATATTGAAGGTAGTTCGGTCATTAATGTTCACCATGAATCTACCGAAAAGTTACTTGGGTGATGTAGTCCTCTCAACTGTCTATCTTATAAATAGAATGTTTTTACGAGTCCTGAATTTTAAAAGCCCTATGGAGGTTTTGCAAGGAAAAAGTTCCTACATTGTTCTCCCAAAAGTGTTTGGATATGTGTGCTTTATTCATGCTAGAAATGTGGGTAAGTTAGAACCTATAGCTCTCAAATGTGTATTTGTTGGATATTTTTCTACTAAAAAAGTCTACAAGTGTTATCATCCATCGTATAAAAAATACTTTGTAACTGTGGATATTACTTTTGGGAAAACCGGGTCTTAATTCATCTTAAACCCAACACCTCTTCAAGGGGAGAGTGAGAAGGAAGAACTTATACCTAATTGGGTATCTATTGTGAGTCATATTCAGGGGGAGAGTTCTATTGCAGAAGGTCGTAATCAAGAAGATAATGTTGGACGTCTGTATAAATCAGACTTGAAAAGGTATTCAATGAGAGATAAGTAAGAAAAAACTATCATGCAGTCTCTCTAAGGTCAAGAATCTTCTCTGGTTCCAGAAAATACTGGTGAGTTATCTTTCTCTTGTAATTTATTAGATAAATCTATTGCTATTTGAAAGGGAACAAGAATTTGTACTAAGCATCCTATATCTAACTTTGTTTCCTATGACTCTCAATCTCCATCCTATATAATTTTTGTTTTATCTGTTTTCTCTGTGTCTATTCTACAGGATTGGAGAAAGACTTTACGAGATCCCAAGTGGAAGGAAGCCATGATTGAAGAAATGAGAATATTGACAAAAAATGAAACATGAGAACTTGTTTCACCTCCACAGAGGAAGAAGATAATTGATTGCAAATGGGTGTTCACAGAAAAACATAAAGTAGACAGATCGATTGAAAGGTACAAAGCTATATTGGTGCTAAAGGATTTATTCAAACCTATGGAATTGACTATCAGGAGACCTATGCACCTGTTGCGAAAATGAACACAATCAGAATACTTTTGTCTTGTGCAGGTAACCTTGATTAGATGTACAACAGTTTGATGTAAAAAATGTGTTCTTCCATGGAGACTTAGAGGAAGAGATATACATGAAAATTCCACCTGTATTTGAAGAAAAGAGGATGCAAGGAAAAGTCTGTAAATTAAAAAGGGCTTTATAAGAATTAAAGCAGTATCCAAAAGCATGGTTTAAATGGTTTAGAAGAGTTATGATATCTTTTGGATATCAACAAAGCAATGTTGATCATACCCTATTTATCAAACATCGTGAGGGTAAGGTCACTCTTCTCATTGTTTATGTAGATGATATTACGATGATTGAAAATGATACCGAAGAGATGACTCGGTTGAACGGATCTACAAAAATTGCAATATTTTTTGAGAATTGAAGTTGTCA